GATTTCATTGATTGGAGACCTTTTGCTCCCATATATTTCACAATTTTTTAAATTGTCTATGTATTTTAAATAACTCCAGATATCAGCTGGCATAGAACATCTGGGACATCCGGTATATATCTATACCTAGTTTCCTGGTAGGTACACATTTTCTAATCAGAAAGTCCGAGCGATATGAATGCCTGCGACAAATGAGAAGCAATTGCAGTAGACAAATTTGTATCCATTATAAATAATAAGATCAATTTAAAGCTTGAGACAGTTACCCTCTGAAACAGCGGATACGCGGGTGACGTCAGGAAACAATTGAGCGATCTCCGCAACTAGCCACTTGTTGCTTGACGCTTAATCACCACTCACACCACTCACTGTCTGCGTTCAAAATTTCTCGAGATTATGATTTTTGGTTTCCTGCTGAGGAGGAGTTTCAAAAATTCGTTGCGGATGACAGCATTTTAGGAAATCGCGAGCTTGCCATGTGACACGGCAATTTGAAATAATCGCGGTCACTTGATTGTCGTATCGCAGATAACTAGATCGGAATCACTTATTGTGGATATTGCATGATCTCTAAAAAAATGCTGCTTATTAACTAGGTATTGAATAACCTAAACTCAGTGACGGATATCAAGGCAGCGGCGATTGTTTTGAAGGCGATGCGATGATGTTTTTTTTTCGCGACTGACGATGCTGCTTGATTGATGGTCAAGACTCGACTAAGGAGACTAGAGCCACTAGAGGTCTTGTGATATAGTTGCGATAACAGAGATGATGATCGTTGTTCATATTTTGTCCTTCTACTTAGAGTGTTTGGATACATAACTTATTTATTTTGATCGCTCTTAACTTGTATCTGAATAGGGTAACGATGAAGGCAAGGCAGCACCATTTTCACGACAACTGTTTAAATTTTGTGACGAAAATCCTCGAAAAAGGAATCACTGAATCTGATTATTACAAGTTCTTACAGTCATACATTCATTGCTAAAATCCATGGGAAATTCATAAAAACTTAGGATAGGTATACCTATACAGGGTGTTTCCATAATTATTGCTTTGCAACACTCTGGCAGAGAAAATCTACGATCAAAAATTAGTGAAATAGTTCGAGGGATTATTTATTCCTGAAGATGTGTTTTTATTATTATTTCCGAAACGATTGAGATTAAAATCAATGGAATTTTTGGTATACCTACCTATATATATATATATCGAAAGACTGGACTAACCAAACCGATTTTAATCTTCTCCTAAAGATGGTAACATAGTTAGCGAAACACTTGTCAAGGTGTAAAAAATCGGTTTGGTTATAATACAATAATACAATACAATACAATACGTTTATTTGCCATTAGACATTTTTGCATGTATAGGAATCGTCAGTTTGAGACAGAGACATAAGGTGCAATGATATAATTTCGATAATACAGAGACAAAAACAACTAGGCTGCCGAAAAATATTCTTCTATAAAGTATATATTTCCAGTAGGAAATGCTTCAAGTTCGATTTGAAATTACTGAGCTATCTGAAGTTTTTCAATCGACTGGAAAGTTTATTGAACACTTTGAGTCCAAAGTAATTGGGAGAGTTACGTGTAATCTCATATTTACACATTGGATTATGATAAATTGTCACATTGTCTTGTACTTATAACATGTATATTCCTATTAGTAATGAATTTTCCTTTGTTTCTTTGTACACATAATTTAAATACAAAAACACAAATGCCAGTTAAAATGTTGAGGCTATTGATAATAATTCGGCAAGATTGTTGACTAGGTATGCCTGCTATTATTCTCATATTTTTTTTCTGTACAATAAAAACATTTGGTGATAGAGTAGAGTTACCCCAAAAATTTAAATACCATAACGGATTCTTGAGGAAACTTGAGCATGATAGAGCAACAACACTTTTGTTCTTCTGTAAGTATTGTTTTTAGACTCCGAAACATATAACAGAGAGAATTTAGTTTCTTTGTCAATTTGTTGCAATGGTATTTCCATGTTAAACATTCATCTATGCCGATTCCTAGGAATAATGTTATCTCATCAACATTTCCCATCAGATCACCATGCACATCAGATATATCCATATTTGAGCAACGTTTTTGCCGATGAAGAAATCTCATTACGTTAGTTTTTTCTACATTAAAGAGAAGTGAGGTGACACTACACCAAGAGATCACTGTATCCATAAAGTTGTGGCAGTGTTCCGATAGATTATCGTCATTTTTGTATGACATGAGTATAGTAGTATCATCAGCATAAATTACATAATGCGAATTATTGGTGAGACTATCCAGTTCGGTGATATATAGCATAGAAACAAAATAGGTCCCAAAACAGATGCTTGAGGGACTCCTACACCAACAGCTTGGTATATAGTCAGAATTTACTCTACGGTAAGAATAAGTATTTTCTTCAAACTTTATTGATACATATTATCGTCTGTTGTGTTCTTGACGAAAGATGTGATCCATTCTAAAACTACTCCTCGTATTCCGTAAGTATACAATTTGGAAAACAGGATGTCGTGTTGAACGCAGTCAAATGCCTTGCTAAGATCGCAGAAGATCCCAACAGGACATTCTCCTGCTTCGATTGATTCAATAACTTTCTCATGAAATGATACAGTAGCGCTATCAATAGATTTATTTGTGAGAAATCCATGTTGACTCTCTGAAAATAACTTATTGATTTCAAAAAAGTTCAGAACCCTTTCAAGAAAGGATTATTCGAAGACTTTTGAGAAACACGAGGGTATAGTATGATTGGTCGATAGTTTGTCATTAGTGAGGCATTCGACTTTTTGTGAATGGGGACAATAACTTTAACCGTCTTTAGTTAGTTTAGTAGTTAGTCATTACCGAATACTTTCAAAAATATTGTATTCTCTCGCATCTTTGGAAAACCATTTATCGCCGCAGTACCTATACCTATCCTTCCTAACATTAGGTATATTTTTCATGACGTTATTTGGCGCATTAATGAAGAATTCATTAAGTAACCAGGCGACTATATATGGATCTTCGACAGTATAGTTAGTGGTAAAACTGTGTGTAGTGTATATCTACCTATGTCCACCTTACTTTTTATGCTGAATTCAAATATGTAAACGAAAGTAGAGGTACCTATACCCAGCAAACAAGTTACATCACATGGCAGTTTCACGTAGTCCCAGATTGCAAATTGAAATATGTTCTCATTTTGATTACGCATATTTGTTCTGAACTTGATTACCTACTTGTCAGAATGAATCACGACTCACTCATAATGAATGCTTTTTATGCTTCGTGGTGTTGCTCGGCAACACAATTTCGCGTGAACAATGAAGCGACAGAATCTCGAATATTCAGAACATCGTGATATTACTTGTGAAAATTCGATGGTTAATATAAATTGACAAGTTCTACACATCTACAGGCTGATTCACGGTGGATGGCACATTAGACGTTTCTGGTGAACCAGACAACGGATCATTTTGAAAATTCTATGGAGGGCATATTAGGACATTCTCTAGCCAACTGAAATATTTTCGACAATGCGGTGTTGCCGCTTCTATTAGAAAGCAGTAGCAACTTTGATTTTTCATATGGAACACTCTGTATTTTATTGCATTTTTAGATTCTCCCTGAAGAGTTGATTTCATCGATGTATCACACTTGGGGTCTAGCGAAAATGATTACAGAGATATAGGGTGTGAAAAACCGACATTTTTCAACTTTAGGATTTTTTTGTGTCGAAACTATCCATCATTGGTCAAAACGGTTCACATGTCCCTATCTCAACTTTTGATTAACTATCTACTGATATTTAATTGGGACACATACCGAGTGATCAAGATTCTGATTTCTGCACCACCCTGTATTTGTTTCAATTAAATGTTAGTAGATAGTTGATCAAAAGTTGAGATAGGGACATGTGAGCCGTTTTGACCAATAATGAATAGTTTCGACAAAAAAAATTCCTAAAGTTGAAAAATGTCGATTTTTCACACCCTATATCTCTGTAATCATTTCAGCTAGACCCCAAGTGTGATACATCGATGAAATCTGCTCTTCAGCGAGAATATAAAAATGCAATGAAATACAGAGTGTTCCATTTGAAAAATCAAAGTTGCTACTGCTTTCTAATAGAAGCGGCAACACCGCATTGTCGAAAATATTTTAGTTGGCTAGAGAATGTCCGAATATACCCTCCAATAAATTTTCAAAATGATCAGTTGTCTGGTTCACCAGAAACGTCTAATGTGCCATCCACCGTGAATCAGCCTGTATAATATTTTAAACGATGTGGCGTTGCTGCCTCTACTATAATAAGTAGCATCAGCAACTTCTATTTTTCAAATGGAACACCCTGTGTATTTCATTGCATTTTTGGATACCCCATCAATGCATCATACTTGGGGTCTATAAATGATACAGAGCTATATATATCATATATAGAGGGTCGTGTTCAAATTCGCCGTTTTTCAATTTCAGGATTTTTTTGTGTCGAAATTAGTCATCATTGGTCGAAACGGCTCACAATGTCCCAATCTTGACTTTTGATTTACTCTACAGGGTGTGTTTCAGAGTTGTGGTGACAAAAGCCTAGGGGAGATTCCTCTTAACAAAATATGAAAAAATGTCATAGAAATATAAATATAGGTCCAAAAAGGCTTCGTTTCCGAGATATATGGGGTGTCCGCAGCTTTGAAAAAAATTCGTTTTTCATTAATATCTTGAAAAAATATCTCGAAAGGTCGTATTGAATTTTATGTCGTTTTTGTTTTCATAAATAATAATGTGCAATGAATTTCTGAATATCCAAGCATTTTCATTTTTCCTTATAGAGTTTATCAGAGATATATGCCGAGCGGAAGACACAATTAAAAAGCTGACTTGCTCTATGCTATATAATTCATTTGGAAGATATTTTGGTTATTTATTTGAAGTATCCTCCAATGGATTATGATTGAATGATGGAGAAGTTCAGAGGGAAGAAAAAAAGATGAAAAATAAACCTAGATAATTTACATTTATTTGAAAGTTCAAAATTTCACTACAACTTTCAAGTTTCCAGTACTTATTTGATTATTTCAAGAATAATAGGTATGTACATATAATTTCAGTGTCTAATGAAAATCAGCATATTGAATATCTAATTATTATATATTATATAATTAAATCAATACACAGGTTGATATGAATGATGTCTATTCATCTTCTGCTTCATCAAACAAATGAACAAGTTTCAGTTCCTTGCCTCTACTTCCTGTCTTACTTTTGGGTTTCCTGTCTTTTTTTACTTTCTGGCCAACAACATATTCTGGCATGACAACTTTAGAACTCCTGAAAGTTGATTTCAAGTCTTCTGGATCACTTTCAGTACCTTTCTTCTCAATCTTGGCATGCCTTTGGAAAATTATTTTCTGTTGAGAATCTGGCATTGATCTTTCATTATTCTCTCCAATTTCTGTACTTCTTCTATCTCTGAGCTCTTTTAGAAATGATAGAGCTGCCTTAGTATTGGTTTTATCAGAAATATCCTCATCTTTGACATCATCTAGTGAGTATTTGGTCCATTTATGTGGATTTTTCTTGAAATCAGGAATACCTCGCATATAGTTCTTTGGTGCTAGATTCTGAGGCTTTTTGAAAATACTCTCTTTGCCTCTGTATTGCTTGGTAAAGCGCCTCTGATGTTTGTTTCCATCAGGTATCTCATCAGTTTCCATTCCATTCTCAGCTGTTGAGAATGTACTATTTTTCCTATTATTTTCAAGAACCTTCAGCTGCTCGAAAACATCTTTTTGACGTTGGCTAAAATCTGCATTTGTTGATTTCAGTGTGAAAGTTGTGGACATGATTTCAATACTTGAAACTTGAATTATCCACGTACGGAGAATAATACCAGTATCAATTTGGTAACACTCTATGAAAAAATCATTGTTCACAATGAAATAAAGAGGCACAGATATTAATTTGATATTTCTGATGTCTTTTCCAAAACAAGAACTTCTCCTCTGCTACAAGTGATAGTGAAGTAGTGAAGTGATTCAAAATAACAAGCTTGACTGTGACAGTCTGACAGTGTGACATTTGTGACAGTGTGACATTTGTGACAGTAGTGACATGTGACAGTGACAGTACTGACAGTGGCTATATTCCGAATTCAACTCTTGGTCAAGTATGATGTAAAACAGAGAGAGTCATAGAAAAAATTGAGTTCAGCAGTGAGAGCAAACACAAACGAACAGGCCATTGATTTTAAATTTCGGAACACATATTTTAAGCAGATATCGAGGATTAACTGACAGACTGACAATTCGCACTGTCAGCTGAATCTTGTGCATGTTTAAGTAGGAATCATCAAAACAACCTGAATTGATGCATCCATCTCGATTCGTCGATACAGGGCGCAAACGAGACAGAGCGCAAACAATAGTCCGTGCTGAAACCTGAAACAAGTCTTGTACAGACGCAGAATACCAAAGTATTCTGTGGTTTGTGCTTCACACTTTCACGGCACATCCTGTATAACTCAATAATTCCAGAACAAAGAGGAAGCGACAGGCAGCTACGTACAATCACAGATTAACAAATAAGGTTTGTTAATCTGTGGTACAATGAACTCAATACGCTACGTATCGCTGCGTCGCGTCGCTGCTGTAATACCGCTTCGGGTATCTTCGTTGGGCAAATTATTGATAGGGAGAATCAATGATGAATGAACTGAATGTAAACATCGGAGAATTGGGATTGTGGAGAATCTTGTCAAAGAGGAGAGGGGAACTATTCTTTGATCTTGTCTTACCTTAAACTACACTACACTGTGACTACACCTTACTTACAAGACATTACAGCTTACAGTTTAGTACAGTGTACAGTATACAGTATACAGTACAGTAACAGTACAAACTACAGTACAGTCAGGTGTCAGGTCAGGATCAGGAACAACGAACATCCACATTTCACGATAAATAATGATTTCTTTGATATTCTGGATTTCCGAATGTTTTAAATTATTGTGACTACTACTACTCGATAAGGATAGTTATCGAATTCGATCCAAATGAACCAGGTAAGCTGATAACTACTTCTTGACTCTGCTGTTCTTTTGTTCTGTATCATAACCTCAATTTCTCACTATCAAATTTTTCAAAACGGCATGATACGAGACCTTTTAAAAATTATAATCAATGTGTGTTTAACTTTTTTTATTGGTAATTTAAATTTTTTCGTTGTATTCAGGTAAGGTTTATCATTATTACCTATCCCATTCTACTAGACAAAATGTTTTTGAAGTTAGAAAAACTGACATCTTAATTTTTCAGTTACTGGTTATTCTTTGGAGAAAGTATGACAGGCACGAATATAAAGCGAAAAGTTCGTCTAGAGAATAAGAAGAAAAAAATGGCAGCCCTATTGGACATAGCAAAATTGAATGAATATGATAGAGCACAAAAAATGAAAAATGCTGGCAAGTTGGAACAGACACAACTGGCCACACTGAAGCCTGAAACAGAACCTAGTCCAAAGAGAATCAAAACAGAAGAGTCCCAAAAGTAGGATATGGAAGTATATTGTTGTTGACATAGAGTTACTATTTTATTTTTCACTTCAGCAACCAAAATCAAGAAGAACCTGTCCCTGAGCCTCCACCTCTAATTGGAGACTTTGGCCCTTCAGGGAAGCCAAAATTGGTGGGGCAGGAACTCACAGACCTGAAGAAAATGTTGAGAGAAAAGACACAATACCTACGCAACTTACCCCAGTTCAGGCTGAGAGAATTAGGAGATAATGCTAGTCTGAATGTCAGTATCAATGACAGGATACCCATTTTTTTGTCAGACCTCCAGCACCTGATTTTGTACTCCCAAATTGGGGTACATTCTCCCTATTCACCTGCCAGGTGGTGTGCCTTAGACAAGTACAGCAGATTGGTCAATACTAATGTGCTGATAGTGGAGAATATTTCTGTTTACAACTTCATGTCAAATGAATGCATGTTTCCCTTTTTGAGCTCTACATTTGAACACAAACTTGAAATGATTACTCCTGCCTCTTATAATAGTGATATTGTCAAGGATTTGTCAATGGTACCTCTGACTGGTAAGTTTTGCACTTTGAAAATATACTATACAATATGTATAAATAAAACAAACATTTTTTTGGACAAGATTCAGTTGTTTTCACCTGGGTTTTCACATGCATTTGATATTGATTGATTGTTTTTATTACTCCCAGAAACATAATAACTGTTTATAGTATAGGGACATCAACAGAAATTTGATATTTCTGGTGAAATGTATTTAAAAGTAGGTACACAAAAAAGTTGTACATTTTTGTTATGATAAACATTTTGAATATAATTTCAACCCTGATAAAGCTCAAGGTATACAGTCAAAAATTCAGGAATCAAAATTTGGGGCAACACCACATTTCAACCTCATATAAGCTGAGTCATAAAAATATTGAGTGTTGATTGAATATAAAACCTGCAGTCTCAAAGTTGAAATTGAATCAATGATATCTTTTAGAACATATTATCTTTGATGATATACTTTGATATATTCATTTGAAAATAATCATAAGGGTTCCTAGAACTGGTATGAGTGTATAATTGGGTAATATGATTATTGCCATGATATGATATGAATATGAATATGAATTTCTATTGAAGGTTGTTATGTTTATTATTTGTTTTAGAAACACAGACATTCATAATCAAAATAATATTTGATATATTTTATAGGTTGGTATTTATTCATCTTCATATTTAAAATAACCAGGATAATAAACATCATACAAATATCAGTGGCAGGATTTTTTCCAAGAGAGAAAAAGTCAGATGTCCTTTATAATTTTGATTTAAAATACCATTCTCTCTTCAATTTTACCATCAAATATGGAGAGTTTACCTACTGTAGAAGTCCATTTTGTCTCAGTGGAGTGAAGTAGTTCATAGACAAGTCATCTCCATCATCATCAAATAAATGGAGAGTTTAATTTTCAATCAAAGAAGATACAATCCATTGGAAGTCTGCTACTACCTCACTAATATAATAACTCAAAAAGTTGGTCATGACTCTCAAATATATCAAGGCAGGAATATTGTCCTCAAACAATAGAACATTTGATCTCAATAAGGTGTTGGTCCTTGAGGCATATTGAGCAAGATGATTCATGTCTGCTGAGATATCTGCCTTTCATAATATTCCAATTTTCAATCTTTGTTGTACCACTCCTTAGAATCATACTCAAATGATGCTCAAATAATCAGTATGATTCAGCTCAGTAGTATTGCAATAATATTATTCACTGATTTTATTTAAAAACAATTTGTAATCTGAAAAGATTAAGAAATGAGAGATGATTCATGTAAAATGTTTATACTGAAAGGTGAATAATAAAGGAAGATGACTGTACAAAACCTAGAGGTTGGATCTAGGTTGGATCTGCAAACAAGTGCCCAAAGCAGCTTCTAGAAAAAAGTCAAAAAAGTTCGACTTTTTGAATTAATTCGGACTTTTTTGAATTAATTGACCTGAAAACCTAATTTAATTCATCTGAAAATAATACAAAAATGTTACAACATAACTATGTTTTCATTTCTAAAATCACAAATGATAACATACACATACAATTCTTGAAATTGGCAAAGAGTAGCTAAAATATCCCAAACAGAAACTAATTATATCAGATATGAGTATTAGGCATCACAATTTAAATATCCAAATTATCCAAAAGGTTCTGTATCGGTTTTGTAGAAATTTTTTTGTTCAGAAAAACAAATATATGAATTCCCCTCATGAACTATTTTGAAATAAAGGGTATGTCACAACAAGCTTACACTATTTTTATATTGACAATCAGTCGGGAGAAATCCATGAAAATGGGCGTGCTTATATTTTAGAATATGCTCTCTCTATTTAAAATATTTTCGACATTGCAGTGTTGCCGCTTCTACTAGAAAGTAGTAGCAACATTTATATTTCAAATGGAACACCCTGTATTTTATCGCATTTTTAGATTCTCCCTGGAGAGCTGATTTTATCGATATATCACACTTGGGGTCTATGGAAGAAGACTTCAGAGATATAGGGTGTTCAAAATCGAGATTTTCCAACTTTAGGATTTGTTTTTGTCGAAACTATGCATTATTGGCCAAAATGGCTCACATGTGCCTATCTCGACTTTTGATTTACTGTTTAATGATATTTAATCGGAACAGATACAGGGTGGTTCAAGATTCAGAGTTCTGATCACCCTGTATCTGTTCCGATTAAATTTTAGTAAATGGTAAATCAATAGTTGGGATAAGGATATATGAGCCGTTTTGGCCGATAATGAACAGTTTCAACACAAAAAAATTCTAAAGTAGAAAAATCTCGATTTTGAGCACCCTATATCTCAGGGTATTCTATTGTACTTATAATAACAAAGTTGTTACTACTTTTTGATCGAAGCGGCAACACTGCATTGCTGCAATCACATCGATTTTATCAAGAGGAAATCAGCGAGTGTGCTTTTTTTACTTAGGCAACTTCGTAAGGTTAATAAGTCTGCAAATTCAAAGAACAGCAAACTTTTCTCTCTTTCACACAGTCATCTCCTATGTCCTAGGGGGGGGGGGGGCTGGAAATCGGCTTACTTCAGCGGATTATCACAAGTGTATATTTTTTGCTTAAAAATGTTCAGAACATTATTTCCTTGACGAATAAAGTGAGAACTACACTGAGAAAAAAGTTGTGGCCATTCTAATCCATAAGAAGTGCATTGGTAAGCACCCTCTAATGGCCTTAGTAAAATGGTGCCCGTATTCGTGTTCCGCATCCCAAAAAAAAAACCCCAACTTTTTAAGTAATACGTTTGAAAATGTTCATAAATCCTGAGAAATTCGATTTTTAATCTTCAACTTTACCACCCTGTATCTCGGAAACGAAGCAATTTCGGACCAAGGTGAGTTGCTTTAAATCAGCTCTTTGTGACCTCAGGAATATGTGCTGAGATTTAGTACAAACTTTTCAAACCAGTTAATAATAAAGCAAGAAAAAGTGTGTTTCAAATTGTCCTGCTCAGTTCATCTAGGACATTGTTGAAGTAAGTTGAATCTTGAAAACGAAGAATGTTAAAGAATCCAAACAAGCTACAGGATCGGTTGAGACGCCAATGCAGTTTATCTTACTGAATAGTGAATTATTATAGTTGATGGGAATTTATATTGGGAAATCCAGAAAGAATAAAAAACTAAAAATTCTCTGTTCCTTTTCTCATCCTGATGTACATCATAGTATTTTTTCCAGAAATCAGTGTTGTTGCCTATCTTTCTAAGTCTAACACCTTTTCCAGTTGTATTTCAGAATAGTCACTTTTATTTCAGAAATCATCAATTGTATTTCAGAATGGTCAATAGGTTCAATACCATATTTTTTTAGAATGTTTCGGTCGATTTTTAGGTGCTGAAATCATGATTGATGCCACGGTGATTTTCGAACGGTAGAAATCTACCGCGAGTAAAAACTGACGTCACGATATCGTAAGTAGGGGCAGACCATAGCTCAATTGCCATGTGTTGAAATACGATTCGGAACTTCAGAAATATTAGTTATTCAAACATTCATAAATTCTCAATTATGTATTGGTAATATTCCTATTTAGCAATACAAAATCGATTGTCTCAAAATGTCCCCTTATGATTTGTGGCTTATTGCTTATAATACACATTTTTTAAAATAGTAATTAAATTAATTCACACTAAAGGACATCTGAAGCGGTGAACATGACAACACGGCGCGCACGACTTGTGGGCGTGGTCTTGTCCCACCTCAGCATTCAGCACAATGTTGCCAAGTCTCCAACATTTACATGATATTCTGTTAAGGAGTTTAAGAACTATTTGGACATGCTGGATGCTCGAAAAAGTCAAGAATAAACTTGAATTTCATGGGTTGCTTTACATCTTTTTGATTACTTGATTATAATTGGTGACTTGACAACCTTGCTTCATGAGTGGAAATGGAAGATTATTATCTGACCAATAACGAATAAAAAGCGTAAAAACTGACGTCACCATTTATTCGACGTATAGCCAAATGGCGGCCATGACGTTACGTTTGAAATGATCTCTGAAATTCAACGATTTTGAACAACGCATCGATTCATTATTTACATCTCTGCTGTCATCCCTTCACTAGAAATACCAATCAGACGAACTAGACAAGCCCAGTCAGCACATCCTTTCGTTGTCAACCTCGAAAGATGTCGAATAGCACTTTATCAAGACTCCTTCATCCATAGAACGGCTAGGCTCTGGAATTCATTTCCTGTGGAAGTATCCCCAACAACATAATATAATCTCCAGAAGTTCTAAAAAATTCCAATACCTACCTCCTTTCCCTATCCTCCCTAGGAACGCACGATGTTCTTCGAACATTATAGGGATTCCCTTTCGTGCGCTCCAAGCGATGAAAAAAAAACATAATAAAAGCGTGAGAAGTTTTGCAAAAATTAATTGAGGTCCACAACGACACAGTGGAGTAATTGAATGCCAATAATTCATTATCAGTCCACTCCCATTGTATTTCAGGATAATTAATTGAATTTTTAGGAAGTGTCTTTTATATTTCAGAAAATATCATTTGAAATACTAATGACGCTTCCTGAAATTCAATTGACTACTCCGAAATACAGTAATTGTCGTTTTCTGATATACAAGTGACACTTTCTGAAATTGAATTGACGCTTTCTGAAATACAAGTGGAAAAGGTGTAGTGGTTCAATATTATTAGAACCATGTGCCAAATGCGTTTCTACCAGAGATAAAAAATTTCCTTTCAGGTACCCACATGAGAAAACTCCTCAACAATTTCGGCACCCTGGAAACCGCCGTCCTCAAATCCGACGAAATCTTCGACACCGTGAAAAACTTCTTTCCCATAGAACAACCCGAAGACGATGAAACGTCCGGTCGCAACGGCGAAATCCACCCCAACGACAAGTTTCCCAGGACGCAACTCCTGCTGTCAGGATGGCAGATGGTGGAGGAGAACTTCCCTCTGCCCATAAAAGGGCTGATGGAGCGCAAGTACCAAGGGTATACTTTGACGAAGGAGAAGTACAAGAGCGTGACTCCTTTCAGTCCTATGGTCGCCATCGATTGTGAGATGTGCAGGACGTCTACAGGTAACACTTATAACACCTTTTTTTGGGATCCGGCAGGGCCTACTATATCTCACCGGGCCGTAGTCTATATCTCACCGGGCCGTAGTCTATCCCCTCTCTCTCGACGCTGACGTCACACTAGTAGGTTGAGATTTCACATCAATCCGTACTGGTGCGTTCGTAATTGATAGGCTATAGCTCATTTACTATAAATTTTAGAAGCACACTCAATCGAGAAGAAATGATCCCCAGCAAATTCCTCAACTTTTTGTGAAAAAATGAATCCAATAGGATGAATCAATACCGAGTTATGTCGTTGTAACGAAATTCCATTTTATTGATAATCAGGACGTTGTACTACAGAATACTATTTTTTGCAAAGTTGGAATTGGAATAAGATGAAACTAACTCAATATATCAAACTACGATAATGAATCAATTGAATAGTGAAAAAATTGTAGAGTTACCTACAATGAGTCCGAAAGAAATTAAATACAGGCTGATTTTAAAATGAGTGCATATATTCAAGACATATATATGAGAGAGTCCAACAAAAATTACTAAAATATTTGATTTTTCCTAAGTCTTCACATTAACGAGAAATTTCATTTTGAAAATTGAACATAAAATGCTTCGAAATTCGAGAACGCCACTGGGAAGCAAGTGAAATCTGCGGAATCCCAGGGAATCTCCAATTCATGGACGTATAAAGACAGTGATGCCAGATTGTTTCAGAGACGAATATCCTGATAAACATTTGTCACAGAATGAATATGAATTGGAATAGGTTATGGAAACTGGTGAATGTAATATGTACAGGAGCCTTATTTTTTAAAGTTTACTGAGATAACTGTGGGGTGATTATCTCCATGGATCACGAGAGACGGAGAGAAACATGAGGGGAATGATAGAACGCCCCCCTTCCTTCAATTCGAAAATAAGGCCCCAGCGGGTAGATACAAAATTAGCAGACAATAAATAGGTACACAACATACACAAAGTTGAAAATCGACTCACCTAGTAGATTTTCTCATACCTGCTCGAACAGCAAAACTCCCGAGAGCAAACAATTACTAATATCGAGTCCATTCCAGACTAATATCGTCCTGTGTTCTTGTTGGTTCATATTCGCACTTAAACTATCGGAAACGATTCGACGACGACATATCCTTCCTGGCAATCTCACATTGAAAATCATGATCACGACCATATCACGATTATCACGACACAAGACACAACATCCAATTATTTTATTTTTAATTATACCTATTATCATATGATCTGTCAACATCATTTCTCAGAACAGTAGTATCTGTGACCATATATTTCCTCTTTGCTGTGACCTTTGACAGTACTAACTAGGATTGTTCGCGTTCTATTACTATTTCACGAAGATTGTTACGATATTACGATTTGTCATGAATCTATTACTATTTGCTATTAGCACCAAAATATGTTCCAATACTAAAAAATCTATTTCTGTGCTCAGCGGAAAATTATGTTCCGTTCTATGTTCTATATTTATGTCAAAACTGTGATTAGTGCGATAGGGTTTGACAAGAATGACATTCCGAATGTCAAATGTCAGATTTTTCCAGTCTATTACCTTTTGGTACAAATCTGATACCTTTTTCCAAGGAAATCTATTACGAAAAAATCAGACCCAGGAATCACACTGACTAGTAAATGTGAAGTTTTGTTTCTGACAATTTGCTTGGAATGTGATGCATTTCTCAAACATTGAGCTGAATGATATGGTTCTTATGTCGGGTCGTTATTGTGCGGGGCCCATGAGACTCCTCTAAGGACACGAAATTGTAGCGATGCAAGGAGGTGGAAGGAAGGGTCTAAAGGATTTTTCAGTAAAAGAACTTCCAACCGTGAGGTGTTAAGCTATACGCTATTCGAGCTTATGTGTACAAATCTTGGGTGAGTCCATTTTAAAGTTTTTGTATTATCTTTCTGAAATTCAAGACCAGGGTTAACTTCTTCCCCATGTACATTTGTGGCAACGTCGCTTCGTTCATCACGGTCGACTGCGGATCGCAAACGATAGTTGTGACAGAAGTAGAAATCTGGGCGGAAAAAGGGTATTTTGCCCCAAATCTATTTTGATCCTAATAATATTTTTAATAGTGCTATTCGGTTGTATACCTCAAGCTTTCTTAGTGTTTAAAATATATGCACTTATTTTAAAATCAGCCTGTATAAAGAGCGCGTAAAAAATGGGCCATTATACCTATACCTACCCAAATTTCGCTGTATTACGATTTTGCGGTAATTCCTTGGACTGGTAAAGGGTGATATGTGATATACTTTTTATAACTCATTTTATTTTTAAATGGCCTATGGTTCAGACCAACTAATATTGGTGTCTGAAAAATTTGAAACAATATTTCTACAATGTGAGTCACAACATAAAGTTTTGGAGAATTTATCAGAAATTAAAATCAATTCCCTTCTCAATTATTCCGAGAATCAATGTTGCAGTTGTGCATGGGTCTTTTGATGGAATCAGCAGAACATTCTCAAAAACCATTTCAAATATTCTGTTGAACAATTATTGCAAAATAAAAAATAAAATCAAAAAGACAAATCACTAAACTTTCAGGCTGAGATATAGTTCAGATTTCAATTTTTAGTTTGTGATTTAGATGATGTATATATATTTTTTGTTATTAGTGTATTTCATTTTGTGATATCTATCAATTTTTTTTATTTTGTTATGTTGATCATTTTTACAGTTTATTTTGATTGGTTTTGTTTGTGTATTAGGATTCAACGTTTTTTTCATTTTTTCCTTATTCATTCATATATAGTTGTTCTGGGTATTTTGTTATTCAGTTCGTTATATTAATTTTTATATATCTCATTGTTGAAATACATATTTTCCCAATTATTTTTGTTAGGTTGTGTTAAAATGAACTCTACATATTTTGTTCTTTTCAATTTTGATTGTTTGCAAATATATCCAAATCAAATTTTTTTCATGAATTTAACGTTATCATTCGAATATATACTCTTCAGCAGAAAATAATTAATACCGAATAGGCGTTTTTGTGTAATAACACACTCGAGTGATAGGATTTCTAACGTCATCAAAGTGCGTCCTGATCATCTTTTGAGATAAACGCTGCTAAAACCCTTCGAGATAAAGTGGATGTGTATTATACCGATTTGTAGGCAATAAAATTTCCTACAAAAAAGTCAGTGACAGCATATATCCATAGTTGATAGGATTAGCATGGGAGGCGTCCGAACTTTTTGAACTATTCTGAAATGAACACCTGAATCATCGTTCTACTTGAATTGAAATATCGGTTTGTTTTCAGTCGATCTAGATACTATGCGAAATCTTTTTATGATTGAATCATTTCTGTGGATTGAATATTGGAATTTTGGTAGCTGTTTAAAAAAGGACAATTCGGAATGGCGTCAATTAATTTTGATATGCCATATTTCTGAAATTAATAATCGTAAATCAGTGAAATGTGACTCATCTTCTGGAAAATTCTGTTCTGTACATATTTGACCACTTGATATTTTTCGCTAACTGTGACCGTTTTCCCGAGGTAAATCAATGAAACGGGAGAGACAATTTCCACTGCGTTGATTTTGTCCCTACTAGTGTGACGTCACGAAAGCGATGCTCCGGCCCGGTGAGATAGAGTAGGCCCTGGATCCGGACACTTTGCCGAATGGATTTCTTGTCGTTCGGTCAAAACCCAGAAACAGACCGGTGCACTCTTTGTCGAAAGTGATAATTATGTCGAAAACACCAGTACAAGGTGCTGAAAGTGGTTAGTAGATAAGCTATGGGGTTTCTGGACCAAAATCCCATGTATTTCCTTATGAAGGTTCATTCTGGTCAAAAATGAACATTTCTCGGGCAGGTGGTCAATACCTCATTCATGCTGCTTAGAATTTTTGTAGAGATTTATACAGAAGAGGAATCATTATGTTCAAGGTACTGATAATTATTTTGAATAATATTACTTATACTCAATATTTATTTGTAGGCATCCCAAGGGTGGCATGGATATTTCAAAATAAAACAGTAAATATCGAAATTTATAACATCCGAACATTTTTATAACGTTTGTGGCATTTTATTTTGTAGCTCTCAATTGTTCAGTGATAAACAAATATTTGAATTTTTTTTCCATTTCTCAGGTAGCTCATCTCATAAAGCGAGAAATTTAACAGTTATTTCAAAAATTTCACCACCTTCGGCGAAATGTCCGAAGAGCTGTTTCAGTGTAATAACCATGTTCGGCGATGTGGCCAAAGAATTCTTTTGACAATTTGAGCAAAATTGAGCTTACAGTTTAGACGCTGCAATATCTTTTATACATTTCGGTAACATGACTCGGTAGTTTGTCCACTGGTGTTTTTCGGCTTGTCCATTCGGCGACTTATTCATTCAGCGAAGTGTCATGGACCCATTTTTCAATGGGGAAGTTTCCAATATTGAGGTTTTAATCTCACTGTTCAGTTTGTAAAAATGTAATATATACGTATTTTTTCTTCTTTTGTTGAAATTTCACTTCAGAAAAAAAAAATGGAAAAGGAACTTATCTCCACCATTTCCATGACTTACATAATGAAAAGCCACACCCACATAGAGATAAAATACGGTTCCTTGTGTCAGTGGGACGTTGCCGGTATCATGAATATGTCTAGGTTTTTTAATCATACTCCGTCGACTATTCTGAATAATTTTCATAAATCTCTTATTTGCTGGATGAAGTTGAATTTTTCACTTTCGTTATATTACAAAATTATTATCATAACTTGTAAGTAATTTTTCTTTCATATGAATGCGTTCCTTTATAAAACGGATATTTTTCCTCGGAAAGTTGCAGATTATATATGTATTGACAGGCACACCGAGAGCTGATCTGATTTTGTGGAAATGTATGTTTTTGTTTACCAGTTTTACTTGTGTTGAATTTTGATCTCCAGTTATTTGTTAGCCGATTTCTACAATTTATAGTTGTTATTTTAGTTAGTTGATTATCGTTATTTTGCATGATATAATCAACAACGACCCAAAGTTGTCTCCATGTTGCCAACTTTTTTTATTTTTTTTGTTCATTAGCTATTGGTTAGCTATTTTCTTCATCAACTATCTTCAGACTTCATTCAGTTTTCTGCCCCGAAAATTAGAAATTGCTTTTGATAATTGAAACGATCACCATTTTGTATAGCGTGTACATAAAACTGAGTGTTCCAAACTCATTTTATGAAAATTTATCTGAAGGAAACTTTCCCATTCCCCTCGAAGAAGTAATTCACTGGAAAGGACAGTCTGAAGTGATTTCATAGCAGCATACAGAGACTGCTATGAAATCACTTCGGATAATCGGGCATACACAGGGTGTCTGATTCCCGATGTCCTTTGTTTCAGGCGAATTGGAATTGACGAGGATATCTGCGGTGAACGAGAAGCAAGAGGTGTTCTACGATACTCTCGTGAAACCGGACAACCAGATCGTCGACTATCTGACCAAATGGTCCGGCATCAACAAGAAGATGATGAAAGACGTCACCAAGAAATTGAAGGACGTGCAAAACGATTTGAAGAAGTTGTTACCGGACGATGCCATTCTGATCGGGCAGTCGTTAGAGAATGATTTGCATGCTCTGAAAATGATGCATCCGTATATCATTGATACGAGGTACTTACTCATGATATGAACTTTTTTTCGAGTACTTTTTATTTAAACAATACAATATGAATAACAAATAATTGAAGTTGTTTCCCAATCAGCAAGGTGAGTGCTGGTCCCGGAACAAAATGTAAATACATAATATTCAAACTGTTTGAAGTAACAAATACAAATACAAATCAAAACTTCTAAGTACCTGTACATAATAACTACTGGAAATGCATTTTTTTTACTCTGACAAATTTGAAATCACTTAAGAAAAACCTATCAATCTTTCTCTGGAACATACATTTTAATTTTATTTTCAAATTGGCTATACTTAGGAATATCTCTAATATATTGTGGCAGACTATTGAATGTTTTTGTACATATGTTCAGTGGACTGATCAAAGCTATATTTGTTCTTACACAATTACTAATGTATTGAGTGTGTCTTCTGGTATCATGAGAGTGAGAGTGTATATTGTTGAAAAATTGTTCTTATCCATCATTCGGTTGCCCCTTTAACGAGCAACCCTCAGAAATCTTCAAGAGACTTTTGCGAGCAAGGAATGACGGGGCTCTTACGTGTGATCCCAAACACTTTTATTAGGCCGTCAGAAAAAATTCTGCGGTCGTGGTGGGAATCGAACCCACCTACCGGCAATCCAACGTGGATAGGATATTGACGCTTCAACCACGAGGCTACGCTGGCCACCATCTATAATTGCGAATTGCATTTGAATTGTTTATTAATCACTTTGTACAAAAATTTGTTTTGCTCAATTTTTAATATTTTTGCTATTTGAAAAAAACCAGTTCCATCGTATTTATAATACCATCTAAACTGTTGAAGAAAATACGTAAAATTGATTCTATTGCTAATGGGAAATATCAGAATCTTCCTTTTCTCATATCAGAATTTCCTTGCTAATGCCGCTAACATGTTGAAGCTGTAATACTAGCAAAGCAAAATTGTTTTTGAGATTCTCTCTATTTCTATACTATTCATGGCAATGAACATATATTGTTGATCTAAGAACAGCATCCGATTTATAAAAGTGGAGGTGGAGACCATATTATTCATGAAAATGTTTCTGCTTTCAAAACACTTATTACTTCCTTTGTTCTGCAAGAATCTGTATTTGACCACGTACTGTTGTAATATTCGCGTGATATTAGTGTTTCCTTGGTCGATTCTTTCATTTTTTTTTTCTCGAATCAATGGAATGACATTTCAAATTTGAGTATTATCAATTTGGCTTACTAGCGATTGATAAACCGGTTTCTGATAGATTACATTTCAGACAATGAGGGCTAAATTTTTCAGTCTCACCAGATGCCATTACTAAAACTTGAGCTAAAAATCCCAAAATGTTGCCGGTTTTATTGAGAATATTCGAGAAAAATTATGTAGAATATTTGAACAAATAGAAAACCATAAGTTATAGGAAGACTTGACCAGACTTACGTTTTTTTACTCTCAATGTGGAACTAACTCTACGACCATTTTTTATATTGACGGAGAAGAAGGTACCGTAGGAAGAGGCCAAATGATACGAAAAGAAGAAGTATATTTATCAGTTCTACCAACTCTGACCTCACGTTTCAGTAGGGCGATCTGGTGGACAACAAATAATGTTAACCCTCATCTCACAACATTATGACAAAAAATGGCAAACCAGCATCCTGACACTTTCAAATTACAGACATTGATGAAAGTTCATATCTATAGTCTGTATATTTCTTTGCGCGTGAATGGAATCAAAAAGACCTACGCACAACTTGCTATCCTTCCTCCGATTAGAATGTTTAGTAAACATTTCGATGATGACGTTTGTTGCCAAAAGCCCGAGATCATTTTCGAACGCAACAGGTTACACGGTTGCATATGCAGGAGTTCGAATGTCAGGACGCATTCGAGTCCGCATTTCTACTTAATTCGTAGAATCACGCCACTGCTTCACTAAAACTTCTTGCCTTGAATTGATTTGATCCATTTCTTGACCTAAGAAATATTATACAGACTGGTCGAATGAGCTGGAGACAGGTAGTCACTTTATGTTGCTGTTTATTGCCAATAATTTATTTTCCAGTGTCATCTACAACATAACCGGCGACAGGTCCCGAAAAACCAAACTGCAAACCCTGGCGAGGGAATTCCTGCAGGAAAAAATCCAAGCTGGCCCTGCTGGTCACTGCTCCACCGAGGACAGTACGGCCTGCATGAAACTAGTCCAGCTGAGGCTGACCAAACAGCTCTATTTCGGCGACGCGGTCATGGGCGGCGTGCAAAATGAACTGAGAACCTACCCTGAGATGGGCACGTCTCAGTATGCCACCAGCATGCTCAGGCAGGCCGTCAAAGTGGACAAGACGGTGAATGTCGTCGGTTTGGACGATATCGGGCTCAAGTACAAGTTTTACGTGGACAAGGGTCAGGATGTTAGTGTGAAAAATGTGACGTGCAGTTCGGAGAAGTCGAATAAGGAGGTTGTCGCGAAGTTTTGCGCGAGTCTGGGCGAGCACTCTTTGAATATCGCGCATTTGAGGGTGGCTGTCAGTCAGCTGGAGGGGAACAACGGGAGGATACTTAAGAATGTGGATAAGTGGGTTAAGGAGGTTTATGAGAAGACTAGCGGTTCTAGTTTGGTCGTTGTTTTGTTTGGGGGGCAGACAGAAGGGAATGGGGTTTGTTTCCTCAAAGTCAAAAAGGAGGTTAGGTAGGTGACTTTATGTCTGGAAGATACAAGGATGTTTATTTTGTATATATGTATCTCATGTAATTTAAATTATTTTCCTTTTTTTCTTACAAAAAATTGTTAATTTACCAACTATAATATTCGACAATATACATTGACAGTTATTATCTGGCGTCTCATTCTTTATCTACCCGTGCTTATCAAGTTTTTGGACCTGAAATCACATTTCTATTCTCTATCAACTTCCAAATAGTGTTGAATAAATTTCTTCATTCAGTTTTTTGTGCATGACCTCCCTAATAGAAGGATTAGTTACTGGCCCATTAAAGGGTTCCGATGAGAATATGTGAATCGAACATTTTCTGGGAGGAAAAGGCGAAATGGTTAGGTTTTAACTTGGGGAAAACTTATTTTTACGGGGTTAAAGAAGGTCGTAACAAAATGAAGGGCTTCAACCCTGAGATGGGCACGTCTCAGTATGCCACCAGCATGCTCAGGCAAGCAGTCAAAGTGAACAAGACGACGAACGTCGTCGGTTTGGACGATATCGGGCTCAAGTACAAGTTTTACGTGGACAAGGGTCAGGATGTTAGTGTGAAAAATGTGACGTGCAGTTCGGAGAAGTCGAATAAGGAGGTTGTCGCGAAGTTTTGCGCGAGTCTGGGCGAGCACTCGTTGAATATCGCGCATTTGAGGGTGGCTGTTAGTCAGCTGGAAGGAAACAACGGTAGGATACTTAAGAATGTTGATAAGTGGGTTAAGGAGGTTTATGAGAAGACTAGCGGTTCTAGTTTGGTCGTTGTTTTGTTTGGGGGGCAGACAGAAGGGAATGGGGTTTGTTTCCTGAAAGTCAAAAAGGAGGTTAGGTAGGTGACTTTACGTCTGGAAGATACAAGGATGTTTATTTTGTATATATGTATCTCATGTAATTTAAATTATTTTCCTATTTTCTTGTGAAAAATTGTTAATTTACCAACTATAATATTCGACAATATACATTGACAGTTATCATGTGGCGTCTCATTCTTTATCTACCCCTGCTTATCAAGTTTTCGGACCTGAAATCACATTCTTATTCTCTATCAACTTCCGAATAGTGTTGAATGAATTCCACTATTCATTTTTTTGTGCATGACCTCCCTCATAGAAGGATTAGTTACTCGCCCCTTAAAGAATTCCGATGAGAATATGTGAATCGATCATTTTCTGGTAGGAAAAGGTGAAATGGTACGGTTTTAACTTCAGGAAAACTTATTTTTAAGGAGTCTAAGAAGGTTGTAAAGGAATTAAGGGCTTCAACCCTGAGATGGGCACATCTCAGTTCACCACCAGCATGCTCAGGCAAGCAGTCAAAGTGGACAAAAGGGCGAACGTCGTCGGTTTGGTCGATATCGGGCTTGAGTACAAGTTTTACGTGGACAAGGGTCAGGACGTTAGTGTGAAAAATGTGACGTGCAGTTCGAAGAAGTCGAATAAGGAGGTTATCGCGAAGTTTTGCGCGAGTCTGGGCGAGCACTCTTTGAATATCGCGCATTTGAGGGTGGCTGTCAGTCAGCTGGAAGGGAACAACGGGAGGATACTTAAGAATGTGGATAAGTGGGTTAAGGATGTTTATGAGAAGACTAGCGGTTCTAGTTTGGTCGTTGTTTTGTTTGGGGGGCAGACAGAAGGGAATGGGGTTTGTTTCCTGAAAGTCAAAAAGGAGGTTAGGTAGGTGACTTTACGTCTGCTGGAAGATACAAGGATGTTTTAACTTCCGAATAGTGTTGAATGGATTCCACTATTCAGTTTTTTGTGCATGACCTCCCTCATGAAAGGATTAGTTACTCGCCCATTAAAGGATTCCGATGAGAATATGTGAATCTATCATTTTCTGGTAGGAAAAGGCGAAATGGTTAGGTTTTAATTTGAGGGAAACGTAGGTATATTTTTACGGAATTGAATAAGAAGCAGGTTGTAAGTTTTAACAAAATTAAGGGCTTCAATCCTGAGATGGGCACGTCTCATTATGCCACCAGCTTGCTCAGGAAAACAGTCAAAGTGGAAAAATCATAATTTCCGACATCGAAAACCCCAGATACAAATTCTGCATAGAATCGAATCATAAATTACAAAACTGGTCCGCCATATATATACTGGGTGTTTTGAAAAGACGCTGCAATATATTTAAGGGGTGATTCCTCAGATCATATTATGGTAAAAAGATCCCCTAAATGTAGGTCCGGAAATGCATTTCAATTCCTTCCTGACAAAATGAATGAAACATCAACAAATTTTAAGTTTATATAATGAAACTAGATTCAATTTCATGAGTGGCTTCAAACGTGAAATATTTGTTCTTTTCCAAATAGATATTAGATATTGTGAATTTGAATAAAAAAGACAGAAATAAATAATACTCTTCAGGTATCTAACAGGAATGAAATTTCGAATTTTATATATAACCAGCAATAGGATTCAATTTTTTCCTCAATTGATCTACAGTGTGTCCACCTAAAGGACTTACCACCCCTGTAAAATTGTTATTATCTGACCGATTTCAAAAAACTTTTTTTTGTTGGATAGGTATTTGAAATGTCCATCCAACAAGAGAGTGATTTTACTCATGATTTGTAAGCGTGGCCAACTACGACCAACTTTATTGACCCATATTTGAGAAAGTACTATTAGGGATTTTTTTTCACAAAAAACAATGATGAATTCTGAATCACGATCACTTGAAAAACACCTTTACTGATTTTTATCATCATAAAACAGAGGGTTTCCGAAAAAACGAATTATGTTTGTTTTTAATAGGTGATCAGAAAATGTAGTATTGTGGTATTTTTGAGAAGAATTAATGACACATTATTATTGAGGATCACTTTGAACATATCTGTACCGATTTTTATCATTCAAAAATACGATGTGTATGAGAAAAAGAAAAAGATGTAATATTTTTTCAACAACTCAAAAAAAATATTAATTTGATTTTTCGAACACCCTGTCTTTAATGATGATGAAAATCGATACAGGTATGTTCGAAGTGATCCTGATTCATCCTTTTATTTTGAGTGAAGAATTATCAGGATGAAAAATATTGCTTACCTATCCTTTTTAATTTTTTTCTCAACACATTGTATATTCAAATGACGAAAAATGGTACAAGTATATTTGAAATAATCCTCAATGATAATTTGTGATTATTTCTTTCTAGAAAAACCACAGAACTACATTTGCTGACCACCTATTTGAAGAAAATGATGATTTCGTTTTTTTGGACACCCTGTGTTTTATGATGATGAAAATCGGTACAGGTATATTTCAAGTGGTACTGTTCCAGAATCCATCATCAAGTTTCGTGGAAAAAAATCCCTAATATAGTACTTTCTGGAATATGGGTCATTGAAATTTATCACAGTTGGCCATGATAACAGTCCAAGAATTAGATCACTCTCTTGTTGGATGGGCATTTCAAATACCTATCCAACACAAAAAGGTTTTTTGAAATTGGTCAGATAATAACGATTTTACAGGGGTGGTAAGTACTTAAGGTGGACACACTGTATATGTAGAGTCCACGATAATTGTCCATCAATATATGAGGACCTAAAAATTTTGTTTTGTATTTGTATTCAATGGATTTGTTATTGAAACATATTGGGGTATTATTCAATATATCCGTTGTTCTTCTTGAGATGTACATATACTCAGATTTACTATAATTAAGAGTCAACTTAAAGGTGGATTCATGCAAGCAAAATTTAAAACTTAAATGAATTTTAAACTTAAACCAATAATATAAAACTATGAAATGTAAAGTAGGTGCTCATGCAAGAAACTAAAAGATTAAAACTAAAATTAAAACTCAGAAAGATGGCCAACATTCAACTAAGAAATTAATTTCTTCCATAATTCACGACAACGCATGCGCCAAATAATAACTAGCCGCGCTGGAAAAAGAATAAACAGCTGATGAAAGGTTATTGCATGAACACCCATATATTTTTAATTTAAAATTCGTTTAAATCTTAAATTCTTTATAATTTAGTTGCATGAATCCACCTTAAGTATTATGTAGTGGTACTTTATAACGTGTCCCCCGGTACTGCGTGTTGCGAGTTTGCGCCACCATTTTTCCCCGCAATAACAATAGCACATTCTCGCCTAATATCCGCTATCCGGATAAATATGCGACAACCGGCAACGCTGCCGACGCCTGAAACGAGCTGCGCTCGGCGTCAGGGCCGCCCCCGATTCTGCGCCGCGAAAATCCGCGTCGCTATCGGCGCTCGATCCGAGCGACCGTCTCCAGAACTCTCAGCTCAGTCACTTGTTCGAATTTCGGGCTTCGAACGGGTTGGTAAATGCGGCGGCACCGCGAAGTTGGCTTTGGCGCGGCGGGTTGCAGTGTTGTCCACTTGTCCAGGTGTCAGTTGTTCTTCGGGACCGTCGATTGCTGTAGATAAGCAGATATAACGGGGTGAGTTGCAGTGTAGACACCAGAATTAGGTTGAGTTTTCATCGAATATCCTGCTATTTGTGTGGAATCTACGAAAGCGTTGGAAGGCCACTGAATTCAGACTTGTTTTCACTACTACCTGTAGAACTGAACATTATTCACCCCTTTTCAAGACGTGTGAAGTGTGTTTTCACTACCAAGGTGGTTTTCGTCATTTCATGAACCACTATATACAGGGTGTTATTTAAGTACGTGGCCAAACTTGAAGGGGTGATTCTTTGAGTGATTCTAAGACGAAAAGTTCATATAAACATAGGTCCGGTAATGCTTCGTTTTCAAGATACAGGGTGTCAAAATTTTTAAAAGAAATCGTTTTTTTCGTAAATATCTTAAATCGGTTGAAGGGTTATTAAGATATTCACGAAAAAAACGATTTCTTTTAAAAATTTTGACACCCTGTATCTTGAAAACGAAGCATTACCGGACCTATGTTTATATGAACTTTTCGTCTTAGAATCACTCAAAGAATCACCCCTTCATGTTTGGCCACGTACTTAAATAACACCCTGTATAGTCAATAAAGACATAAATACCCACCTCTGTTATAATCAAATATTATTCATTGTTTTGATGCGAGATTCGCAGGAATGACACTCGAATCTAGTAGATGTATTTATCAATAAATACTTGTCGTATGCTGTCATCGTCATGGCTAATAGATTTCAATTTGAATTGAAAAGAAGTGCTTTCACAGTCCATCATTCAGTTTCACCTAACTATATGAGCAAAACTGTAATGATTGAAATATATATGGTGATTCATTAAGAATGGGAAATCTCTGAACTACAGATAGTGAACAAAAAAAGAAGAGATTTAGCCCAATATGCCTGATGAGAATGTTGCTGGTTTAGGAGATACAGGGTGTTCTAGGAGGAGATTTTATTTCAAAATGTCACAATAACTTTGTTAGTTTTAACAGCATGAACATGAAATCTTGTATTTCTAGATTTTCTGACATGAGGAATATGAATTTGCAACTTATTTTGTGATTGCTCATAGAGGGCGCTAGTGGCACTCTTACCAAAATCTTTATCTGTTCATTATTTTCGAACCACTTATTCACTTGGTAGATACATTCCACTTATATTACACATAAAATCTGAATATCGAAATCGAAAAAAAAAGGTTATTTATTTTCATATAGTAATTTTTAAACAGTATAAACATGTATCTGACGATTTTCCCATAAGAATGTGCGTGTGCTACGTTTAATAATTATTAACTAATTTTTACTATTTTATTATTATCAACTAAATTTACGATAATGTTAATTAACGGCTCACAATAGAGGTTAAGAGATAGTAATTATGAAATTATGAAATCCAGAATATTTCAGAAAATAATAATACATCTGTCAAATTAGATGCGCGCTCGTGAAAAATTGGTCACTATATCAGTTTTATTTCGTTCTTTTCAGTTATTGAAACAGATCTACAAAATTTCACGATACATAATTTCTCAATAAAATATACTGATATCAAATGTAGGTGCATTTACTTTGAATTACCAATAATTTAGTCAAAAATATCTATAAATTTTGAAATTTGCGGATATGGCTCCGAGTATGGCTCAACCGAATTGAAAAAATCATAAATATGGTATATAGAGAGATTTGAACTATTTCTCCATCAAGATGTTAACTACTTCACCCCGTGAACAATTTAGAACATTAGAAGGGGTTAATCTGTAGGGCAGGAGGTTGACAGGTGGTTGAAAATTTGTACAAAAATATATTTTCAAAAATCGACCTGTCCGGGGATTTAAAAAAATATATTTTCAATATGCAAATACGGATTTTATTACATCATAGGTTTCCACAGTGTATATTATTCCCAAAACTTATTTTTCAAAATACTGGCATTTTTGAAATCAGCTGCATAGTTACGCGACCGCAAATATAACTATGTACATGTTTATTTATCAAAATACTCTCATTTCGAACAAATCATCATCAAAACAAAGAATTCACGTCTCGATTCACGTATAATGTTGATTTGATATAGAAATATTAACAATTCGTTTTGTTTATTTATCATTTGCAGTTTCCGTTCATGTATCATCATTCTATGATTGCATATGTACATGTAGGTATAGATATACTTTTTATACAGAGTGACTATAATATCGAATCCTATATACGAAAGTTTCTGTATCTTCTCGGATTTTTTAATATAGTGTGAATTCATGTACCGTGTGGAATAATTTGTCGATACCTTTTCAATAAAAAAACAAGACCACACTGATTCACGTATTCAGAAGTTAATTGGAATCTGAACAGTGACGTACTGAAGAAAACTTCTTATGATTTCGTTATCAATAGTACCTATACTCAGAATATGTACCATCCTGTAAGGCATACTGATATCCTCAGTTCTCAGAAAAAATCAGAACTATACAAATCAACAATGATGAGAAAGAGAGAGAGAGCAGGATACATTTTCATTAGGGATACCCCAAAATGCCATTGATCGAAATCTTTTACTAAATAAACTATACAAAGTAGGAATAATAATACTAATAATAGTAATAATAGTTCATTATTCATGAAAATGAAAAAAAAGGAGTTGACTGCTCACTATCCTGTTTGCTGCAGCTGGATCAATCCTTGAAAAATAGTTCATTCTAAAAAATTTTCGTTGAAAACAGAATATTTCAATGACCTATAGATAATGTATCATCAAGTTCTATCGATTCTTATATTATTAGTCATTGACACTTGATCAATGATCACCCTATATGCAACCACATTTCGTCTGGCACACAGAATCCGAATATATTCGAATGATGCGATGTTGCCACATACTATCCCAATTTCCAATTTAACAGAATCGAATGACTTGAGCATATTCCTCTCAGCCACATCCGAGGTCACATCTCATCGTCTTAGCCACATTTCGTCTCAGCCACATTTCGTCTCAGCCACATCTCGTTTCAGCCTCATTTCGTCTCAACCACACAAGGGTAAAATTGCACTTATCATGCGGTGGTTTCTTTTTTCGAAAATTTTTTTTGGTACCCACGTATTTTTGTCTGAAAATCACGGATTTTATAATAAAAATGTGAACAAACCACTATTTATCGAGATATTTCAAGAAAAAGTTCGAAATTTTGCCTTCTTTTTCCCCCTGTCTTAGATACATTTACAGCTACTTGCTCTTCTTATTTTGGTCATTGGACACTTTATACAGGGTTGTGATAAAGTATGGAACCATGCAAATATCTCGGTAACCATTCATTAGATTTTTTTGATTCGGATTTGAAAATGTTATCGCCAATGTTGCCACTTTTTCAATTATTCCGGAAATATTATTAACCAGCAAACAAACTAAGCAACTTCATACTTACCTATACAGGGTGTATCTAGATAACACAGAAAAAAATCAAGGGGTTCTTCCTTGTGATATTTTAGGAAATAAAGTTCATATGAACATGTGTCCTAACTTGCTTCGTTTTCGAGATACAGGGTATTAATATTTCCATGAAAAATATTTTTTCCACTCATTTCTCTGTCTTTTCATCAATTTCAATAAAACGTTGTGGTTCTGTTAATAGTAATATGGAGCTTCTTCTAGTGCAATTAGATTCGGAATAATATTTCCAGTGGCGTCACAGTGGGTAAATTTATCGATATTCATGGTGAATGTCATTGTACAGGGTGATTCACCATAAATATCCCCCCCTCTAGCTCAGTTATTTTTGAACCGATTTCAAAATTTGAAATATCATCTCAAATGATTCTCGATGAAGTTTTTTCTGCTACATCAGAAGATACAGGGTGCTCGGAACAAACGATCTATAGAGTACTATTTGATTTTTTCAAATGGAACACCCTATTTTTCATTGTATTTTTTGATTCTCCCTGAAGAGCTGATTTGATCGATGTATCACACTCGGGAATGATTACAGAGATATAGGGTGTTCAAAATCGAGATTTTTCAACTTTAGGATTTTTTTGTGACGAAACTATTCATTATCGGTCAAAACGGCTTCCATGTCTGTACCACAACTTTTGATTCACTATCTACTGACATGTGATAATTGGAACAGATACAGGGTGATCAGAATTCTGAATCTTGAACCACCCGGTAAATGTTCCAATTAAATGTCACTAGATAGTAAATCAAAAGTTGAGATAGGGACATGAAAACCTTTTCGACCAATGATGAATAGTTTCGATAGGAAAAAATCCAAAAAATTTGAAAAATCCCGATTCTGAACACCCTATATCTCTGTAAACATTCCCGCTAGACCCCAAGTGTGATATATCGATGAAATCAGCTCTTCAGGAAGAATCTAAAAATGCAATGAAATATAGGGTGTTCCATTTGAAAAAATCAAGTAGTACTCTGTGAGTCGTTATTTTTCAAATTTTTAAATCGTTTCAAAAATGAGTGAGCTAGAGGGGGGACATCTATGGTGAATCACCCTGTACAACACCGGTTTTTCTGGGTTTCATATTTTTATCAGATTGAACTATCGAAATAACAACTTCATCATCCTATATGTGATTTTAGTATCTAGCTTAGTTTTTGAGGAAACAATAAAAATTCGGTTTGACTCCAAATTTTAATGTAGTTGTTTTCAAGACTGCCATTGAGATTACTCAATAACCCCAATTAGAATCATTTTGAAATTATATGACTTTCTCAGTCTCCATCCATATTGAATTTTGGCATCATAAAAGCTTATACAGGGGGGTTATAAATAAAAACGATTAAAACTTCCAACTCCAACATCCTGTATCTCAAAAACGGAGCAAGTTAGGGCACATGTTTATATAAAGTTTATTTGCTAGAATGTCACAAAGAAACCCCTTGAAGGAGTTATTTAGATACACCCTGTATAGATAAATTTTCTCTAGTCTAATTAGTTTGTTATGAGTAATATGTGGAACAGTTCTTGTGAAGTCCTTCAAGGGACACCCTGTACATATATTTCTTGTAGAGGTTAATAAATTCACT